GGGGAAGCATGGCAAGAGTAAGGAGACCCCAAATGTTAAAGGAAATCCAGAAGCATGGTCTCCCTTTCTTTTTAAAGATAATACTTTATTTTTATAAAAATGATGCATACTTATAAAGAATCCAAGATATTTTAAAATCTTCCAAATCCTGCCACCTCAAAACAATCATGGCCCCGTGGCCTAGGGGCCCTGTTGCTAATGCAAGTGACCATTATGCAGCTATTTCTCTCATTGTATATACAGAGAGAAGAATAAGTAGGCAAGTAACTAAGAAGGGATAGTGGGTGGATGGATGGATGGATGGATGGATATAAAGAAATAGTTCATTAAAAGGAATCATACTTCACTTGCTGTTTAACAAAAGGTATAAAATTTAATTTTTTTGAATTTAAAAGACAAAGACACTAAAAAGTGAAGCTAATGGAATTGCTTAACTTTGTTTATTCTCCACAAGAGATATTATTTCTCAAGGATACCTCTAACGTTAAGAAAAAAATTATGAAAAATATTAAGAGACTTGAATCGTTATTTTTTTAACATGCTTCAATTTTAGACAGTACCAATTGGCTAATTGCTATGAAAGATAAAGAAATTAACATTCTTATACTTCCTCCCATTTCCCGTCCCCCAACTACCTAAATATTATGAGTAATCCTGGGATTTTTTTTCTATTTTTGTCTCTTAATGTGAGTCATTGTCAGTGCAAATTATCAGGATTAAATGGGGCATGTAATGGAGAAATGTGATGACATGGATATCTATTATAGACACAAAGAATAACAAGAGGAAAATTAACATTTTTTTCAGCTACATTAATGTAATAAGAATTTTAACCATTTTTGTGAACTGCTGACCTTGTGTGCCACTGACCTTATTATGCATCACAGACTATCTTCAAATGTCATATTTCAAAATAATAATAAAACTAAATGAGTGGACAAACTGGATTATTCTCCAAGGCTTCTGCTGCACTATGACTTTTGCCCCAAAGGATCCTCATCTGAGCTCAGAGGAGACTTGTCTTGTTTCGGAGCAGAGCCAGACTTGATGATAATAACAACAATTTCTAATATTACTCGGCACCTAGTGACTGCCGGGTACAGGTTAAGTACTTTGCATCTATCAGTTCATTTCATCTCCCAACGTTCCAATGAGGGACAGGCTATATTCTTCATTTTAAAAATGAGGAAACTGAGGCAAGGTGGTTAAGTAATGTTCAAGATTCCACAACTAGTGAGTAGGGGACTCTAAGTTCAATAGTAAATAGCAGAGCTGGGATTTGAACAGTTTCACCGATCTGGATGGGCTTGGGTCAGTCACTCACCCTCTCTGAGCTAATATCATCTACATACTTAAGACAAATAAAGACTTCCCCGCCTATCACCCATGGCTTCCCTGGGGATCAAGTGAGCAGTGCCTGGAAAAGAGCTTTGTAAAGTGGTGTTATCACCTTCTTCCCCTCCAGAACTCAGCATGGCGTGTAGCCGGCAACCTTGGTCAGGACTTAGGCAGGAATCAGCCTCTGCTGATAAGAAAAACATTACCGCAAAGCCACAGAAACAACACAGTCCTGCCAGGAGACAATTACTAGTAAATGGGGTAGGCGGGGAGTTCCGATGGCTGCGAATGCTTTACCAAGTTTATGTTCAGGGTGAATTCCAGCAAGACAGATTGTTTATTGGGTTCACTGTCACACTACCATTTGACAAGAGAAGTCATTGCATGGAGAGAATGTCGAGGGCCACTGGATATTGTGTTCCCTCCCTTGGGCCAGCTTTTTTTTTTTTTTTTTTTTTTTTTGCAGGCCCTGAGCACTTGTTCTCTCCTAGAGCAGATGCTCTTGGCCTGGCTGAGCTATCCACCTGCCTCTCTGGTCGTGATGCCTGAAAGGTGAGGGCCAGAGAAAGTATCTTTCAAACCCTCAGGCAGCATAAAGAAAAAGGTCACCAGACCAGCACTCTGAGCCCTGGAGGCCCTGGGAGGCCAGAGAGCTGACTTCTGACCCTGACTCAAAACCATGACCTTGGGCAAGTCCCTTTCCTCTCAGGGGGTTTGTTTTCCCATCTACATACAGTACTATGGCTTCCTGGATGCTCTCTTGAGGCCCGGATAACTCTCCTGCTGGCTATTCCGAGGAGAGGTGTAACACGGGTATGACTGGCTGTGACTTATCTGGGAGATTTCCACAGAGAGGAATCAGGCAAGAATCTGGAGACCACAGACAAAGATGAACTGCATTTTAAGAACTCTGGCTGGCAGTACCGAGTTATACAGCCGCAGTGATTGCTTTGTAGGGTGAAGAGAAGATAGTACTCTTGAGAGGAGCATCTGGGAGTTTTTAATAAACCGTCACTGAGATCTGCTAGCTGGATATTAACCCTTTATTAGCTGTATCATTGCCAAATATGTTCTCCCGCACAGTAGGCTCTCTTTTCATGTTGTTGATGGTTTCTTTTGCTGTGAAGAAGCTTTTTATTTTGATTTGTCCCATTTGTTTATTTTCTCCTTAGTTTTCTTTGTCCTAGGGTTCCAGGTATTTTTTGTGATGGTTTTATCTGGGCTTCCTAGCCATGACCTGACAGTTTATCACCTGCTCACTCGCTTCTCCAACTTGTTGATCCACATCGCGCACAGATTCACGCTCAACCTCATTGGACCCGTCACTTCCTTCTATCAGATCCCAATTTACTGAATGATGATAATTCCCCAGGCCTCCTTTTTCTTAATTGTGGTAGAAACACATAACACAGAATTTGCTATCTTTACCCTTTTTCAGTGTACAGTTCAGTAGTGCTAAGTATATTCACATTGTTGTACTCCATCTCTTCTTTTGCAATTGCCTAAAACTCATTTTCATTGTACCTAGATTGCTTCCAGGGGTTTCCTCCTCTTGGCTTTTGCACAGATCTGTGTAGAGCTGAAGTGCAAGAGGTTCATACTTCACCTCATGGGCACTCTTCCAATGGCTATTATAAGTTATCTGCACATTCTGCTGACTCCACGGATAAAATAGCTCAGTTCCCTGCAGCCAAGAGCCTTGGGCTGAGCATGGCATGGGCTCTCTTCCAAGGGGCCAGATCTACATGTGCTTAGACACAACCAGGATTGCGTCCTCCACGTTAGATGGGGGAACCAGAAGATTGTGTCTTTAAGAGTGGAGGGAGCCTGCTCAAGTGGCCCCTGCTTTGACTTTTGGAGAAAGCACTTGGAGGAAGCAAGTTTAGAATGTCAGTTTCTTCATCTGTAAAATGGGAAAAATATCTACCTTATAGATTGTTTCAAAGCTTGAAAAATAAGATGTGCATGAACGATTTGCTTTGAAGTTAGTCATAGCAAATGTTTAATGAGTATTTGTTCTTTTTTATCTTTGAACCCCATATTTTTCCAAGCCCTGCAAGGCTATAAGCATGAGTGAAGATGCCTTAACAGCTATAGCTCTGATTTTACCAGCTGATGGCTCCCTCTCAATAACTTAGATCCTTACTCTTATCAAATGTGTCCCCTAGGCAGGGGGTGGGGTGGGGGAGGGGAGGGGTTATCTTTGCTCACCTGCCTGTGGGGCATCCATGACTCCTCAAGCTCTAGTTTCTGAGGCTGCTCCTCGAATCCAGCATCAACACAGTTGTGCTGGAATTCTTACAGTGTCACACCGGTGCTCGCTCTCTCTCTCTCTCTCGCTCTCTCTCTCTCTCTCTCTCTCTCTCCATGTCACACTCAACAAGGATGTTCTAGATAATGTGTCACCATTACAGTCTTCATAAAATTGTTTCAATGTTTATTTAGAACTCCCTGTTCATCACAAACAGGCTTGAGTGAGTCTCTTGGGACCGGGTCAAGAGACATTTCTAAGGGATAGACACCAAGCTGTGTTCATATTTCCTGTCCCTCCTCCGCTGGGTTGAGTGCTGTCCTGAGAGGTCCTTCTGCAATCATGCCCAAGGGGCATAGCCTAGGCCAAGCAGAGCTCCATCATCATCATCGTACTGGGCTTTGACCTCCCAAACCCAATCACCCCAGCACCTGCCCTGTGTTAGTTACTTAATCCTGCATAATGAGTTTTTCCACACTTAGCAGCTTAAAACAACAAACATGTGTTATGGGGTCAGGAATTTGAGAGTGGCTTAGCAAGGTGGTTCTAGCTCAGGGTCTCTTGTGAGACCACAATCAAGGTGTCAGCCAGGGCTGCAGTCATCTGAGGCTTGATTGGGTCTGGAGCATTTGCTTTCAATTCACTCACAGGTCTATTGGCAAGAGGCTTTGGTTTCTAGTCACATGGACTCCTCCATAGCATCTCAGGGTTTTCCCCGAAGTGAATTGTCAAGAGAGAGAGAATGAGTAAGACAAATACTGCAATCCTTTATAATTTAATCTTGGAAATGACATACCACCAGTTCTGCCACATTCTACTGATCACACAGACCTACGCTAGTATCAGGTGGGAGGGGCTACACAAAGGTGTGAATACCAGGAGGTGGGGGTCACCAGGGCCATCTTGGAAGCTTTAACACACCCTCTGCTCTCTCCTGCCTCAGCTTCTACAATCTTGCCTGAGGGGTGCCACCTGTTTTCATGGTCAGAGGGGACATGGGAGCCCCTGGGATGGAACTAAGCAATGACAAGGTAACACTGGGCCTGGGGACATGTGTGTGAAAGACAGGAACCAGGAAAAGAAAAAGGAGGACAGAAGTCTTGAGTGATAAAGAGTAGGTCTTCCAATATTGTGGTACAGTAAACCTGGGAATAGACAGGAGACCTGCATCTTCAGTGAGATGGAGTTGATAGACATAAGTGGTTTATTTATAACAATAAAGGTCTGTTTCCATCATGCCACCTCTCCATGGCTGGAGGCTTTGCTCCACACCTCTTCGCTTGGGAACCCAGGCTGATACATTGCCCAAACCATTGGCAGAAAGTGAGCTCTAGAGGGTCTTGTATTGGCAATACAGTCCTCTGATCCAGCAATGATGCATGTCTCTTCCTTTCACAGCCCATTGGCCACAAAATGGTCACTTTGGCTCCAGCCAGCCATGAGGGTGCCCGGAAGTATAATCTTATCACGTGCCTGGAAGAGAGAACTGGGAATATTTGGCAAACAGCACTAATGATTCCTGGAGGTCTAAGAGAAGAACAAATTTTTCATATCAAAAGGCAGGGAAGAGGCTAGGGCTGAATCCTGGGGCCTGGTTTTGTGCAAAATGAGGCTTTTCCAGGTTCTGCTCTAAAAGGCTCTCTGCTGGTTACTCCATCACTCCTGGGTTTGGTTCATCCTTTGCTGCCTCCCATAGCAATCCAAAGGAGGAAGCATCTCCTGAGTCCTGTGTGTCAGACTTGGGTTATTCCCTCCTTGAGCCAGTCCTTTGAGCCAAAGGGAGGATGCCTACACAGCAGTCACATGCCCACCCAATTTCATGCTCCAAGGCATGGCCAGACCTTTGGAATCCCTGGGGACAACCCCAACACACTTTTCAGAGATGACCATGGTTCTTAGTAGAAAGATCTGGGCCAAACTCTCATCAGACCTGAGAGGTCCCTGGAGAAGTAAAGTCCTTTCCTGCCTAGGCTCCAGTTCTCTTTCTTTTGACAAGAAGCTCCAGTTCTAGGGATCTCAAGTTCTCTCCCACACCAGCCAGTCCAGCCCGAACAACCCAGGCAAAGGTCCCACCTCCCCAGAAGATCTTTCCTTTCACAAAGAGACCTAGAGGTGGCTATGGGACACCTCTAGGTGTGAACACATTGTGACACTCAGACTTATCTTTTGGAAGAGTTCATATGACCAACTCGTACTTTATTTTCACATTTTCACTTCTAAGAACAGCTTTGGTTAGAACTGTTTTAGTTATTGGCCAGGCCTAAGGACTCCATTTGCCCACTCACTGATTAGGATATATCCATTGTTCATCAGCAGGACCAACACCATTTACCCCTAGCCCCTAAGCCATTTCTAACAAACATACAATGCAAGTGAAATTAGTGTGTTTGCCATGCAAAACAAAATGTCTAGCTTCCCCTTCCACCAGATTGTCCCCTACTCCTTCTGAGAAGAAATTCTGGAGTTAGCAGAACCTCTAAGGCAGCTGTTCTCAACCTGTGGGTCGCGACCATTGGAAAACACATATAGCATATCAGATATTTACATTACGATTCATAACAGTAGCAAAATTACAGTTATGAAGTAGCAACGAAAATAATTTTATGGTTTGGGGTCACCACAACATGAGGAACTGTATTAAAGGGTCGCGGCATTAGGAAGGTTGAGAACCACTGCCTGAGGCCTGAAGCCTAGAGATCAGATCTCAATGAGGGCCATGTCCATAGAAACTCAGGGCATTTGTCGCTTGAACTTTGACATTAAATTTCATTCTCAAGAGCCAATCTCATCTCCTGGATTTTTTCATTTTGTTTTGTTTTGTTTGTTTGTTTTGACATTTTTTTGTTAATTCTTACCTGAGGATATTCTTTCCATTGATTTTTAGAGCGAGTAAAAGGGAGAGAGGGGGAAGAGAAAGAGAGAAACATCAGTGTGAGAGAGACACATCTATTGGTTGCCTCCCTCATGCCAGGGCTAGGATTGAACCTGCAACCCTTCCGTGCATGGGCTCTAATTACTGAGCAACACCAACCAGGGTTCATATCCTGGTTCTTGACTGAAAACTGTTACAATGGTAATGCTCCCAGAGGAGGCAAAATGATTTTCTGAATAGGGCAGCCAGAAACTCCCCATGGCTTAGGTAGTATTTAACTTGGGCATTGACATTTGAAAAGATTCTCAGCAAATAATAATGAGAAGGGAGGAGGTTAGTCTAAGGCAGCAGTTCTCAACCTGTGGGTCGCGACCCCTTTGGCGGTCAAACGACCCTTTCACAGGGGTCTGCCATTTGACACAGTGATCTCACTTCTTGGAATAGATCCTAGAAAGCCAGAAACACCAATCAGAATATATGCACCCCTGTGTTCATAGAAGCATTATTTACAATAGCTAAGATCTGGAAATAGCCCAAGTGAATGAATTAAAAAACTGTGATTCACTTACACAATGGAATACTATGCAGCTATATATATATATATATAAAAGGATCTCTTACCCTTTGAGATGGCATGGAGGGACCTGGAGAGTAGTATGCTAAGCAAAATAAGCCAGACAGAGAATGACAAGTATTACATGATTTCGCTCATATGTGGAATCTAATGAACAAAATAAACTGATCCAGAGACATTGAAGCATACAACAGACTGACCTTTTTCAGAGGAAAAGGCGGGGGGCGGGGAGCTGGAAGAGATTAACCAATGAACTTAAATGCATATATGCAAAACCCATGGCCAAACAGTAGCGTGGGGAAGGGGTGAGAGCAGGGTGGAGGGGGCCAATGGTGAGAAGGGGTGGAGGGGGAAGGGGACATCTGTAATACTTTCAACAATAAAGATACATTTTTAAAAATAGTGATAAACAACATACTTACGAAACTGCTTCCCCATGGCCTTGGCCTTAGATGGCTTCAGGGGAGATGGCAAGGAAAGTGTCAGCCCGAGCCAGACAATTCATTGCATAGCTCAGGCCTAACATCTGGTGTCCTTCACAGCTGACAGCTGAACAGAAAGGCTGGACATACAAATTGTCTCAGGTAGCAGGAAAGGCGCTTGGGGCAGGGTGGGGGGGGGGGGGGTAAAGGTGTAAGTCATGGAACACAGCTGTTTCTGGGTTCACCTTCCCCACTCTGGGGCTCACAGAGCCGTCCTGCCCAAACACACCAGGCTCTCTCAGAGGGGCCCTTTGGCAGAAATGTGATGTGTGTTCCCCCCCTTAAGGGCAGAACCTATTTTGGTTTATTCTGCTCTGTTTCTCCAGAGGCATCCAGAGCAACCATTGCCTCACTGCAGCACCTGCTTCAAACCAGCTGCTGGCGAGACCTCCCAGGGACGTCCAGACACCCACAAACCCTGAACCTGTGGAAAGGAGTCCCATTTTCGATGGCTCTGGCTGCAGGAAGCCATGACAAGGGCAGATGTGGTGGCCAGGGTGGCAGGGGAGGGCAGCAGAGAGCTAGAAGAGAAGCCCAGGAGAGCGCCAGTGACCACAGCTGGGAGAGCTCCAGGAGGAAGTGGGAGGGGCACATGGAGAACCTCCATCTGCCAAGGAAATCCCCTCCCCTGGGTTCACACAGAGGCCAGGTGGAAGCGCTGGTGCTGGGGGAGCACGTTGGGAAGTCAGACCAAAAGGAGTAGAGAGATGCCAGAGACAACACCACAGAGAGTCAGAAGAGAACCGGAACAAGCTGGAGGTCACCAGAGTCCTGGAGTAGCTCTGAGTGTGGGCCAGCCCTGCTCTCCCTGGGCCAGGAGAGCAAGGAGGAATTTAGGCCAAAAAGCAAAGAAGAAACGCTGCCTGGTTTATTTTATGAGGTCATCATAACCCTGATAACAAAACCTGTCAAGAACAGTACATACTCAAAAATACAAAGTACAACAATACCAAAATAAACCCAAAATACAAGTCTCATTGTTAAATATGAATAGGAAATTAAAAAATATTTTAACAAACTGGATTAAAGCACATTAAAAAATCATTCATGATAGCCAACCAGGGTTTATTCTAGCAATGTAAAAATGTTTAACAATAAAAAATGTATTAAATTATACCAGTCATTAATAAAGAAAATAAATCATTCAAATCCAGATTCTGAAATGCATTTGCTAAAATTCCACAGTCATTTCTGTTGTGTCTTTTTTTAACTTTTAAAATTTTAGAAAGGGTAGGATATTCTCTTCACATAAAAAGTATCAATATCTTACTACCTTTGTAATTTTTCTATAAATCTAAAAGTATTTCCAAATATAAAGGCTAGTTTTTTAGTTCTTCTGTTTTCCTCCTATTTATGTTAAGACATTATATATTGTTTTCACCTTGCATTTTCTTCTGAGTCTTCATTTCTAAAATAATGTTTTCTGATATTTCTAATTCTTTAATTATCACATTTCATTTTAAAATTCTCATTTATGTTGTTCTCTAATCTCTTGTTTTAAATGGAATATTTTATTTTGATCTCCTTTTTTAGCATGGCTCTCTCATATGCTTTCATTGTCTGTAGGTGTATTATCATGCTGCTTATTCCATTTCCTCATAAAAATTTTGACCTTGATACTTTTCTGTTCATTATGTTGATGTGAATTTAGTTTTCCTGAATTTTGTTAAAATAACTTTTCTAACTTCACCGAGCTCTCTCTTCTGTTGTGTTCATGTAATGTCAAAAAGTACCAGTCTGCATTCTAAAAGTAAAAGTTTTTTTTTCATTTTAAATAAATAAATGGAAGGCTTTTGTTTTGTTTTGAAGTTTTTTTTTACTGACAACTTTTAGAAAGCAAAGTTGATTATATTTGCCCATTGTGGAACAATGTGAAAATATGGGGTACACTGGGATTTGGTATTCAAATACATCACTGGTCTAACCATCAATGTCATAAATGGGGGGGAAAAAACTACCCTAAAAGTCTGTACTAACTTAAAATACTATTCCCAGTTCCACTAAAAAGGCATAAATATATGGCACATATTAATGATAATAGGCATTTTATGTACTATTAAGAGCCCATATAGTAAGAAAATGTAATAGGGGACCTAAAAATAAAGTACTTACTGTATTTGACATTAAGTAATCTTATCTACTTAGAATTTAGGGTGTTTCTAGGGAAATAGATGGCACAAGACTCTTTAAAAAGTCATCCAGATATTTTAAAACTTTTAAAATGCATTTTCCTAAAACAAACAAAGGCATTCAGCCACCTCACTAATTCTAGAGGTATTTCTTCACAACATTTTTAAAAGATTTGACATAATACACATCCCTTTTAATGTCTCTTCCAGTCTCAATTTACTGAAAACTAAATCTGTAAGGGCTGCATCAGACAGATGCCTGGCGTTTGTTGATCTTGCTGTTATTAGAGTACTTTCTCACTCATGAGAAAACTAGAGACGGGGCTACCTGGCAGTACACTGGCAGGAACTTTTAAAGAAGCTTGAAAACATTTTGCCTTTGTGTTGAGTTGGCCAAAAGAAATAAGATAAACTGATGTTGGTTGTTTAAAAAGCAGAAAGCACTATATAAAGTCAATCTGAGATGCTATCCTTAAAGGTGCTTTTTCTGTAAAAAAAAAAAAAATGACTCAGATGGATGAAATAAATCACACAACTGTTGTCCTTTCACTTTCTCAGGATGGTTTTCTGGACCTGGTTTCATGTCTAAGTGTTTGGCAAATGGTGTTAGGTTATCTGGAGGTTTAAGGAACATCCTGTTTATTGACAAGAGCTAATTAAAGAAAAACCTAATTAAGGAAAGTTGGTCACACAAATACCTAGCATTAGGGCTGGGGGAAAAGCACCCAATTCTGCACACTAACACGGCTTTTTGGGTATTTTACAGTAGCAATGAGATCCCAAAGCCTTCCTAACCAGGTTTATGCAGCACCTGAAACACTTGTTCCAGGCCTCACTGAATCAGTGACCGTTGAGGAATTCCTGTGGATTAACCCTTGGTTTGGTGCCCAGCAAAGGGGTTCCTGTGGTCTTTGAAGCACCCTGCAGTCCTTGCCTCCCTGGATTAAGTGCTCCGTAGACCAATGTTCCCGCTGCGGCTGCTGCTTCTGGCTTTGTAAGGGGCTTTGGTGGCCTGCACCTCCGGCACTGCAGGGGCTGCTGCACTGACTCCTTGTGCGACCACTGGCTCTCTGTGAGGAGGTCGCCGCACAACTCAGAAGCATGCCTCCCTGCGGCCACCTCCAAGGCCTGGGCCTTCCTCTTCAGCTCCTGTCTCTCTTTCCCAACAGGCTGGGCTGGCTCGCTCAATTGCTTCTCCAGTAATGCTTTTTCCTGGGGGTACCGGCGTGGCCCTTGCAGCTGTCTGAGCCCCAGCTTTTTTTTAGCTCCTCCTGTAATGTCTGCATTTCTCTGTCCTGTTTCTCTCCTTTACTAGTGAAATGTCCCTCACGGCCACCAACGGCTGCTTCACAACAGGCATTTGAGAACAGTCCATCTTCTCCTTCCCCAAGAGCTGTGTTTCAAGCTCCACAGTTTGCTTTGCATGTTTGGAGGCGAATTTGTATCTCATTCATAGGCTCTCACCACTTTCTTGTGCATATTTGTTCCGCTGATTTTTAGTTTCCTTTCTATACTCCTTGGTTTTGCCCATCAGGTTTTCCAGCATGAATTCAGGGTCAGCCTAGACAAGTGACTCTTCATTGAGTAGCAGCCTAGTTTCCTCCACGACCACTTTTTGGCTGGATTTTGGTTTCTTTTATTTGCTGGTCCAGCTTTATCACTTCCACTGACATAAAAGTCTATTTTTAAAACTATGGGTTTTCGCCCTTCCCTGGTTTTGTTCAGTGGATGGAGCATCAGCCTGCGGACTGAAGGGTCCCAGATTCAATTCCAGTCAAGGACACATGCCCAGGTTGTGGGCTCGATCCCCAGTGTGGGACATGCCGGAGGCAGCCCATCAATGATTCTCTCTCATCATTGATGTTTCTATCTCTCCCTCTCTCTTCTACTCTGAGATCAATGAAAATACATATATTTTTTAAAGTTTAAAATAAAACTGTGGGTTTTATTTCTGAGATTTTCTGTTGTTTTTTTCTCCTTCCCCACTTGTATCTGAACCTTCTCTTTCTTTAGGTTGGGTTTGGTTTGGGTTTTTTAGGGGGAGAAGGGTGTTGGTCTCGCTGTTACCAATTTTTATCCCCCTTCTGGAAGTCTCCCTTAGTGTAGGGCAGTGATGGCGAACCTTTTGAGCTCGGTGTGTCAGCATTTTGAAAAACCCTAACTTAACTCTGGTGCCGTGTCACATATAGAAATTTGTTGATATTTGCAACCATAGTAAAACAAAGACTTATATTTTTGATATTTATTTTATATATTTAAATGCCATTTAACAAAGAAAAATCAACCAAAAAAATGAGTTCGCGTGTCACCTCTGACACACGTGTCATCGGTTCGCCATCACTGGTATAGGGCCCTGTCTTTAAATGGCACATGGCTACTCAGTTTCAGGAGTTTGTGTTCAAAGAGACTCAAGTGCCCCAGTCCCTTTAGCCTTATCACAAGCAAGTTCTCATCCATTACTGGGGGGGACAAACCCCGTCCAGTTTTAGCGACTGCTCTCCAATTCCATTAGGTCTGAAGTCGGGTCCATCAGCCGCCCTGATGCTTCCGTCTGCTTTCCCCCACACAGATGCCCACAACACATCATGGTTGTCGGTGCTTGTATCTGTCACCTAGCTTTGTTGTAGATGTTGTCCTTGGATCTTTAATTTTGTTAACTAGTTTCTTGGTCTATTTTTTATCTGGTGACTCAAAAAGATTCAAAAACTACATTTCCCCGCTCCTGCTGTGCTCCCAGGATTCCAATATGTACCGTTTTCTAAATCAGAGCTGGGACCCTGACCGGTTTGGCTCAGTGGATAGAGCGCTGGCCTGCGGACTGAAGGGTCCCAGGTTCGATTCTGGTCAAGGGCATGT